TAGTGATGGCAAAGTTGATTACCTCTAATGATGGATAATTTGTTAGTTACTCTCTAATGCAGCCACTCAGATCATCAGTACAACTGTGAGGGAACTCTGGTGGCTTAGTGGTAAGGAGTTGAACTGCCAAATGGGAGAAAGACGGATAGTCTCTTCCCATACAATTTACAGCCAATGAAAACTCACTAGAGGAGCAGCTATGAATTGCTTCTGACTCACTGACACACAACAACAACAACAGAACTGAAGATTGGGGGTACACATAAGTAAAATGGAGAATATATGAGTGTGATCACTTGGCCCAGTATGTGTACCTCTCCTTGAAATGTAGGATTCTAACCTTGCTGGGTTTCTAATACTATTCTAAAGCCAAATATCTTATGCATTATGTTAAGTTTTTGCATGTTTCTCTGCTTTTACTAGCTTCTTTCTGTTTGACTTTTAAGGAAAAATATTGGAAAGGGGCTCTTGAGATAGAAAAACAATCTATAGGTTACAACTAATTTGAGAGATTCAATTTTATAATGTAAAACTCACAAAATGCCACCAATCCAGAGAGTAAAAAATTGATATGTATTAGAACTGAAAATGATTCTGAGTGAAGATGACCAAAATTTCCAGGGAGACTGTTGCCTGAAGGAAGGTTTCCTGGACTCCAGCCTCTGTTATGCTCACCTCACAATAAGCCGTCCAAGTCTGGACAGATGGCTGGATTCCAGAGCACTTCTCATGTTACAGTATTTTCTTCCAGTTGTCTCCTGAATTCTAAAAGGAAAAGTAAAATGCCGTAACTTTCAAAAAGTACAAAGAATAACATTAGTGGACTTTTGGAAGTCACGAATCTTAAAAATTTTTTATCCTTGAAAACCTTCCTCTTTTCACAAATGCCACTAGGGTTAAAATCAGGTTGCTTGTTGTATATATTGCATGATCTATGTTGCTCAAAATATAAAACACAAAATGTGTTTGTGCTTTTCCTGTATGATCTCTTTCATGTCCACTGTCTCCAATAAGGTACCTTTATGCATTTAATTTAGAACTATGAGTCTGGGACTCAGTGCCACTCATGGCCATTTAATACTATCGTACATGTTATTCCCTAAACATCTCTCAACCCTGTCCAATTTTCTAAATCTTTAACATTACTACTCTAATCTAGCTTCTAATTCAATCTTTAACATCACTAATCTATCTTCTAATCTAGTCCAGCTTCTCTCACTTGCATCATTGCAATAACTACCTAACTGATTTGCCTAATCACCACTCCTTCTACTCTAAACACATTGAATCCATATTACAGCCTGAGCCAGCGACCTTTCCCAAATGCAAATCGAATTCTATCCCTACCACTGCCAGTAATTTCCTATCATGCTCAAGGTGAAGACAAAATTCATAGAATAGAAAAAAGGAGAGAGGGAGAAAATGCTTTTTAATATTTCAGATTAAAAATAAATATAGTGAAACTGTAGAGTTGCTTTTATGTCCTGTCACATCATAAATGCATGGCTGACCATAGCAGATTTTTCAGAAGCAGTAAATTACACGGAAGAAGTTAGTCTATCTTTCTCCTTGTGGATTCAAACCACATGCCTTTGGTTTGCAGTACAATTCTTTACCACAAAGCTACCAGGGCTCTCTCAAAAGTTGTTGGTAGAAAAGTACATTTCACCTGTAATGCCAACACATTTGAGCTCTGGTGGCCTAGTGGAAAAGGAGTTACACTGCCAACCCAAAGACAGATAGTGTGAATCCACCAGCTGCTCCACGGAGAATGATGGGAAGTCTTTTCTCATATAAATTATGTTGTTGTTGTTGTTGTTGTCATATGCCATCAAGTCCCTTGTGACTCATAGCAACCCTATGTACAATAGCCCTAAACTCTGCTCTGTCCTGTGCCAGTTGCACCATCTCCAATACACCCATCCGAACTACCTCAGTCACTGAATCAATCCACCTCATAGAGGGCCTTCCCCTCCTGTGCTGTCCCTCCACCCTTCCAAGCATGATGTCCGTCTCCAAGGATTGGTCGCTCCTTCCAACATGTTCAGAGTATGTTAGACCGAGCCTCGGGATCCTTGCCTCCAAGGAGCCACCCAGTTTAACCCTTTCCAGGATGAATCTGTTTGTTTTCCTAGCAGTACATGGTACCCTCAATACTCTTCTCCAACAGCACAGCTCAAAGGCATCAATTCTCCTTCTGAAAACCCACTGGACAGTCAGCTATGGCTTAGTTCTGACTCAACAGCAATAAAAAAATACCAACATATAATCATTGTTGATGTTTTTAAGTGAATACTTCATTGCCTTCATTACTTAATAATGTTATGTGTTATCGAGTCAACTGTGACTCATAGCAACCCTTGCTTGATAGCTTTGAGTCCTGCCTTATCCTGAGCCAATCTCATTGTCTCTGATAAACCTGCTTTCATTACCCCAGTTATTGTGTCAATCCATCTCATCTGGGGTCTTTGTTTCCTGCACTATTCCTCCACCTTTCCAGACATGATGTCTTCTTCCAAGGACTGGTCTCACCTGTCCAGAGGTCTCTCCTTTTCAAAGTATGTGTGATACAAAGCTTCAAATTCTTTGCCTCCAAGGAGCAACTTGGTTTCAACTTCTCCTGGTCCGACCTGTTAGTTTTCTTGGCAGTCCAATACTCTTTCCAGCACCACAACTCGGAGGCATCTATTCTTCTTCTGTCATCTTTAGTCATTGTCCAGCTCTCAAAGGAGACAGAGAAAAGATTAAAGGTGTCAGTTCATTTTTATTTAATCCGAACTCGTCACTCATTGTAGCTGCAGTCAAGAAGTCAAAGGATGTTTTTCATTGAGCCAAGCTGCTGTGAAGGGACTCTTTATAGTGCTGAAGAGCAAGATTGTCAGTTTAAAAACCAAAGTGGCTTCAATGCCGTAAACATATTTCATCCACTTTTTCTCAGTCTTACCCCCACCCCAATGCCAGCCTCATTCTACAACAGTGGCACCATATAGCATTTGTCCCTTTGTTACTGAAGGCAGAGTGTATATTAAAATAGCATTTCTTTCTAATAACAATATCTTTCCTAATACAGAGACCAAATTGCTACATAACTATATTTTAAATATGATTCCATTTTAAATATAGCTTTTTATTTAAAGAAACATGTTGTAAATATGATTGAAAACAATTGTTGGCTTTAACTACACACACACAAAAAAAAAATGAGGAATAAAATCTAAGACTGTTAAAAAAAAAAAAAACACAACAAACTAAAGTGGGCCGCCTGACCCAAACCATAGTATTCAGTTGTCTCCTGTGCATCTGAAGTTGGACAATGAAATAGGAATAATGAAAACAATTAATGTCTTTGAATTGTAGTGTTGGCAGCAGGTATTGAATGTCCAAGAATGGTCAAAAGAACAAACGAATCCGTCTTAGAAGAAATACAACCAAGATGCTCCTTGGAAGCAAGGATGATGGAAGATTGTCTTACATGCTTTAAGCTTGCCGTCAGGAGGTGCTAGTGCTTGGTAAAAAAACCATCCTGCTGGGAAAGGTAGAGTGTCTGGAGCAGAGGAAGACCCTCAACCAGATGGATTGACATAGTGATGGCATCAACCAGCTTGAGCATGATGGAGATTGTGAGGAAGATGCGGTTGGCAGGACAGGGCCAGGCTCAGCTGCATTGTTCACCTGGGCCCTCTGAGTTCTGGTCGACTCCCCAGCACCTAGCAAAATCACCAACAATAGCTTCACTATGTGGGAAAGCTGAGACTACGGCACTGTTGTATTTATTCACTTTCTTTCCTTTCTAACTATCCTCTTGGGCTAATAAGCTCTCTGTGTCCTGTAAGTGCTTAGATCAGCCAGGAGCCCCACCGTCTACTTCAGCAAAGTGAAAAAATGAATTCAGTTCTTTTCGTTTTTTAAAAGAAGCATGGACAAAATGCAAATCGAGTAATCTTTCGTATTCATTTGCCACACGTGTTTGTACTGTCATTGTTTGTTTTTGAAGTTATTGTGACCATCTCATTCATTACAACATATTTACTGACTCATAAGAAATCTCTTTAATTGCCTATATGTTAAATGGCAATATAAGTGGCTCCGCCCATCCATATGATACGATATGATAAATATAGGAATGGAGTGTCCTGGCACATCATTTCTCTGTTTTATTTGGCAAAATGCCTAGCAATGAAGAGCTTTAGATTTGGCATGTCGCTGCTTATCTTGTTCCAAATTATTATCAAAAACCGTGACGAGTACATCACAGGGGGAATCAGTAATGGGTGCTGAGAGTGGTAAGCTTCCTATCATTCACATTCACGTGCTGGTGTCTGAAAATTAGAACTGTTGGTCAAATGCTTCCTGGAAGCATCCAGAGAGCAGAAAGCAGGGCACTTACCAGGACCTAGACATACTGATGTGAAGTCGGCAGAAGACAGGGAGCTCTGGTGGCCTCGTGGTGATAAACTGCGCTGTAACCCCAAAAGCACGCAGTTTGAATCCACCAGCTGCTCCACAGGGGAAGAATGAGCGATCTCCTCCCATGCGATTAACTGCCTCTGAACAAAAGCCACTGGAGGGTCAGCTATGCGTGGGTGCCGACTCAATGGTAAACAAGAGTGTAAAACATAGCGTATATTCATTTCATCTGGTTATGTGAGATCTCACTGAATTCGCTTGGAGTGACCAGTAGGCTGCACCAGGATCCCTTGTGCTCTTTGATTCTATTGCATGCTGCCCATCCAGAGCAGCCCCTGCAGCCATTTCACACCCCGCCTAATAAAGCCCTCAGGGGCTGTCATGTATTTTCATGTATTTGCTCTATTATCCCTCCCTGCTTGAGTCTTACAGATAATTGATGATGCTTCTGTTAATCATCTTTCTCTCTCTTTTGTTCACCAGGTACCTTGCCTTGAAGGGCCTCCTTTATTGAGAATCGATGTCTCTTCCTAGGTAATTGATCACTGTAGACCCAGGGACACCCAATTCATCGTGGAGGGAGGGTAATCATCATGAATAATCAAAAGACCATAGCTGCGATCCTGCAGGAGTGCAAGCAAGTGCTGGACCAGCTCCTGTTGGAAACATCAGCTGTGTCAGAGGAGGCCAGGAGGGAGGACGAGCAGTGCAGAGGTGAGGTCCTGACTGGAGACGTCAGAGGTTAGCCAGCAGGCTCGTGCTCCTCTCCCCTGCCCAAACCACACGTTCTCATCTCTGCCCTATTTTTCTTCTCTTGGCAGATGACCACCGAGAGATGAGTGTGTTTCTAGGGCATGAATGGGACATGGGCTGCAGGCGGACAGGCAGGGGAGGAAGCCCACTTTGTTGCAGTGAATTGCTGTCAGTTCTAATTTTAGGCTTCAGTAAACATGAGGCTACAAGAAACAGTTTAGTTCAAGAAGGACAAAAGGTCCAAGTTGGCTGGTGCATGTAAATTTCAATTATTAAAAAATTGAGGCAACTTCTGTTTTGTGCCTCATCAGTTTCCATAGGCTTCTACAGTTTCCATAAATGTGTCATCTCACAGGTCCAATCTCTTCCGCTCTCCTTCTCATTTTGATCCATTTCATGTCAATTTCTTGGTGAAGCCCGATTGTAGATCATCTAGGTATAAGAATGTTACTTTCTGCTTATTTCATAGTTTTACATAAGTCATGATTTGGGAAGTTTCAATCACAAACCAAAACAGTTAAGGCAGATAATATTTCTTTTGCCAATGTTGAAGAAGCAGTCTTTTCTTAGTTTTTTAAATTTTTATATATTCTAGCAGTTTTGTCCCATTATTGTATATCATTTTTGCTTCTTTTTATTTTCTTTACATTTTTAACACATTATTTTCCCTTTCAGAAATAAGATACCCATATAAAATGTACTATCTCAGTATCTTTTGGTTTTGTTCACTATGCCATGGGAAAATGTTCTGGAAGTACCTTTCCCCCACATTCTCATATATACCCACTGCCATCAGGTCAATTCTGACCCTGAAGACTCTAAGAACAGGGTAGAGCTGTCCCATCAAATCTCTAAACTTGTTAAATCTTTAGGGAATGAGGCTGCCCCATCTTTCAACACAGAGCAGCTGATGAGTTTGAATCACAGATCTTTTAGCCAACAGATAAGCGTTTAATAAAGCACAGAGTTTCCAAGAGCTCCAAGCCCTCATCCAACAGTTTTAAGGAGCCTATGATGTTGTTGTGATGTACTATCGAGTCAGATCCCTAACTCATAGCTGACCCTCCAGTGCTTTTTTCAGAGGCAGTAAGCCACATGGGAAGAGATTGTCCATCTTTTTCCCACAAAGCTGCTGGTAGAGTCAAACGCCCTGCCTTTGGGATAAGCACAAATCCTTACCCTGAGCCACCAGCGCTCCCTTAAAAGCCTAGGGTGGTGATTGTTGATATTGTGCCTTCTGAGTTGGAACCAACCCACAGCTGACCCTTGGGTGGGGTTTCCAAGGCAGTAAATTGCGGGAGAGGAGATAGCTTTTCTCTCACAGAGCAGCTGATGCATTTCAACCGCAACCCTCTCGGGTTGATAACTAATAACAACGGTGAATGTGCACCTGTTCGTATCAGCAGGGCAGGAACGGGGGTGTTTGTCCCTCTAGCACGTGCCCTGCTGCTGGACCTTGTAGTCTGCGGAGGCAGAGGGCTGTGCTCTGTTGTTTCTACTCAAGAGTGCTACTCTTGTTTTTTTTCACTACACTATTTCCTTTGTCTGCTCAACCCAAATTCCTTCATCCTTGGAGTACTCCCCAGGGAACGCTCTGAAGCCCCTAATCAGGTGACATTGTCTTCGTTTTTGTCTTCTTGAATGCCACAGACCAGGAAAAATAATCAGTTTAGTTCCAGATAAGGCAAATCACAGCTATAAAATCACTAAATTAGACTCGGCCTTTCAGGTAAGCTGCTGGAGACAGTTAAGTGATCAGAGGGGGGGGAGGAGGTTCCTGCCCCATGTGGGGCATCAGCAATGGGCCGGCTGAGTCCCACAAACCACAGGGGGACAAAACCTCCTAAGCTGGGCCAGTGATAATCATAGTGTTAAGTGTGGGGAGGAGAGGAGTGGAGTGATTAGCTACAGGCTGATGGGTGAGCCCAGCCCTTGGCAGGTGGTTTCTGAGCTGCTGGTACAGGCGGTGGGGCTGCTACCGATGTCGTCAGCTTGAGAGAAAGACATTAGTACAGGGTCACTTATGGTGGCAAGACACATTGGGCACACTCCGGGACACAAACACAGCGGGTTTTATTCTTTTTCTTTCTTCCTCCCCACCCCTAGCAACTTCCCCAGAGAGGAAGAAGAAACTGAACATAAATAACAAAATTTATCACACAAATCACTTTTATTGTATAATTCGATGCCCTTAATTATTTTCACAATGCTTGAAACCAATACCATTAGATATCTCTAAAACTCTTTTATCTTCCCAAATAGAAACTGTACCCCTTAAGCTGTGTCTCCCCATTCCCTCTGTCTCTATTCTAGCTATTTCCTAAACACGGGATCATATACACTTGTCCTTTGATGCCAAGCTTGCATCACTGAACATGTTTGCAAGGTTCATACATTCCATAGCGTGTATAATAGAGCTACTATTTGTAAATGCTTTGTTTAAAAACCCATTTGAGTTGCAGCTTTCATTTCTCCCCCAAAGCTCATGTTCTGACATTACCCTTAGGGTAAAGGCAGTGTGGAAGAGGCAGGAACACTTTGTAAGGGACCTATAATGTCCATTATTATGAATAACTTTCAAGATGTTACAACTATTCAGATCCTAAAGTATAGTGAAATTCTGTGAACTCCCAAATCACATTCTTATTATCTTTTGACTGTGTCAGTTCACTCATGGTTAGAATATCCATGTAATTATCAGTCATATCTGAGGACGAAAAGGGGTGCTATTAATAAGTATCCCATGACAACAACCATAAATCAAGATGATCCTGGACATACTAGGATTAAGGGACCTACAAGAACTTTATGGAATTTTCTCTATAACATACTTTGGAAACATATTCAGAAGAGAGAGAGATGTGGCTGCAGAACTGTGGCATGAGCACTGAAGGAAATGTGCCCTGTGGTTTTGAGGGACTCTCATATCAACATGTTGGAGAAAGTGCATTCAGAATGCTCCTTGCAGGCAAGGATGATAAAGCTTTGTCTTATATACTTATCAAGTACTGGCGGCTTCAGGCAAGTTGCTAGGAGAGGCTATTTCTTGGAGAGGAATATTGTGCTTGGGAAAGTAGAGGGTCAGTGAAAGAGAGGAAGACCCTCAACAAGGTGGATTGCCACAGTGCAGTGACTGAGACTGAGACTAGAACAGGATAGGACAGTGTGTTCATGGAGTTGTTTTAGGGCCTGGCCAACACAACAGCACTTAACAACAACATATCCACGTAAGTAAGATCTTGGCATAATTCAGGTACAGCATTGCCTGTGTGCAATCAGAAGTGGATGGGCCCAACCTCATACCTGGATAGGTTAGAGAAAGGCAAGCCTACCAGCAAAAATAACATGTGGAAAGATTTGAAGAATTTTATGCAGGGAATGATTTGCTCCATCATAAAGGAATTAGAAAGCTGTAATCTGGACCAAAAAAATGCAGAGACTAAAGATAAGGGGATGGCTTTTACAGTCTACAGGATTTGATAGCCAGTTAGAGTCAGGGAATGAAGGAGAGAAAAAGTCTGGAATGACTTCAGTGGATAGTGACACCATTCACCAAAAGAGGAGGCGAGGAGCAACAAAGAAACAGCCAGAGTTAGGAAAAAACATTCAGCTAAAAGTTCACCACAATAGAGAAAGCATGAAGTTGGAGGAGGAAGACCGAGTTTAGATATATTGAGTCTCAGATGCCTATGACACAAATGTTTATAGCTTGTTGTTGCTGTGTACTGTCGAGTCATAGCTGACCCCCCAGCAAGTTTTCAAAAGTAGTAATTACACGGGAGGAGATTGCTCTTCTTTCTCTCAAGGATCAGCTGGTGAACTCGAACCATCCGCCTATCAGTTGGCCGTGCAACTCCTTACCTACTAGGTTATTAGAACTCCCTTATGTAGCTGATAGTCGTATGTTTTTCTTTGTCATTATTGTTAGGTATCATTAAGTTTTTAAAAAGTCAATTCCTAATCACAGTGACAAACTAGAACCCCTCTGCCCCGTAGGGCTTTCTAGACCAAAATCTTAGGGGAGCAGATTGCCAGCTCATTTCCCTTGTGGAACAGCTAATGGGTTTGAACCACTGACCACAATCCCATATCCAAAACCCTGGGAGTAGTATGTGTCACAGAGTTTGGACTTTTGAAAATATTGGAAAGGTGGTTGTTGTTAGGTACTATCGAGTCAAGTATGATGCATAGCGATCCTATGAACAACAGAGTTGAACTCTGTCCTATCCTGTGCCATTCTCACACGCTCTGACACCCTAAAGCCCATTGCTTCAGCCACTGTGCCACTCTACTTTGTTGAAGGTATTCTTCTCCTTCACCATACCTCCAACTTTCCAAGAATAATATCCATTTTGAAGGAATAGTTTCTTCTAGCAATATGCCTGAAATATGTGAGACGAAGTTTTATCATCTTTGCCTCCAAGGAGCACTCTCGCTGTACATTTTCTGTAATATATCTGTTTGTTCTTTTGGCAGTCCATAACACATTCAGTACTCTTCTCCAACAACACAGTTCAAAGACACCAATTCTTCTTCTGTCATCCTTATTCACTGTCTAGCTCTCAGCAACATAGCAAGTAATTAAAAAGACCATGGTTTGAATTATGCACACCTTAGTTCTCAAACTAACATCATTACTCCTCAATAATTTGGAGAGGTGCCTGACCGTTGGCTTCCCTAGTATAATATCTGTCCTGATTTCATGACTGCTGCTACCAAGTGTATTGATTATGGATCCAAATAAGGTGAAGTTGTTGACAGTTTCAATCTTTTCTTCATCTGTCATGATGTTGTCTATTTAAGTCCAGTGGTGAGAGTTTTTATTTACTTGGCATTGAGATGAAATATATATTGAAGGCTGTAGTCTTTTATTTTCTGCAGTAAGTGCATGAAGCCCTCTTCACTTTCAGCAAGCAAGGTTGTGTCATCTGTATACCAAAGGTTATTGATGAGTCTTCCTCCAATCTTAATGTCACATTCTTCTTCATAGAGTCCAGCTTCTTGAAAAATTTGCTCAACATTAACATTAAATGGGTATGGAGAAAAGATACAATCCTGGCATGCACCTTTTTTTTTTTTCTATAATTATATTTTATTAATTTTCATAAACATTTACAGAGATTTTGGGCTTCCACTCATTCATTGTTGCACTATTCTCTCTACCCTCCTCCCAGTTTGTTCTTGTCCAAATGCCACAGTGCTTGTCAAAGCCAGTTCTGATTAATCTTCTTTGTCAGTGTATCCTTTGCCATTCCCTATCACTCCTCCCTGAGAGAGACTTCACCCTGAGTCATAAGGAAAAGGGGACGGCGTATTCTCTTAGCTACTTCCTGCTGAAAAGGGACGCTGTGGGTTTCAGGGTGAAGATCTTCTCTCACTACTCTAAAGGGCCCCTTTGGCAGTAGGAAACACATAGACTATTATGGAGATTGATTTTGGAATTCAGATGCACTCTTATTGATTGTGCTTGGCTGTACATGTACATATCCTTCAAGATGTATCATGGGGGTGTTGCAACCTAGAAGACACAAATTTGACTAACAAGTTATAAGTACATGAGTCCAAAAATTATGGAAAAGTAAAAGAAAAGATTCTTTCATTGTTTTACAAACCCTCCCCCAGGTCCCCTCCACCATGCAGCCCTCGCTCTAGTCTCCTGTGATGACAGAAATACCCAGTTACATCTCTCTTTTAGACGGTTCTCTCCCTCCTCTGCTTCAGTGCAGTATACATTATTGAACCCATCTTACTCAGTGTCTCCCTAACCCCAAGGACAGTCCCATTCTACAACAGTGGGCATGCACCTTTTTAAATTTTAAACCATGTAGTGTTCTGTTGCGTTGTTTACATGATAGTCTTGGTCTAGGTATAGATTTTGCAAGAGCACAACTAAGTGTTCCGGGATTCCCATTCTTCTCATTGTTAGCTATAGTTTTTATGATCCACTCAGTCAAATGTGTTTGTATAGTCAATAAAGCAAAAATAGATATTCTTCTGTATTCTTTGCTTTCATCCAGGATCTGGTTGACATCAGCAGTGATATCCCTAGTTTCATGACCACTTCTAAGTCCAGCTTGAGTGTCTGGCAGTTCTCTGTCTATGTACTGTTCTATCCATTTTTTAATTATCTTCAATCAGTATTTTGCTTTCAAGTCATAATGATTATATTGTTCTGTCATTTCCACATTTTGTTTCACCTTCTTTCTTGAAAATAGGAATAAATGGATCTGCTCCAGACAACTGTCCTCATTTCTCTCTCCCCCACTCTTTCTCCCTCTCTCACTCCCACTCTTGCTCCTTCTCTCTCTCCCACTCTCTCTCCCTCCCTCTCTCTCCTACTTTCTCCCTCTCTCACTACCACTCTCCCTCCTTCTCTCTCTCTCTCTCTGTCTCTCTCCCTCTCTCCCTCACTCTGCCAGTCGGATCAGACTGGCAGGTAAGAGATTGCCCCTCCTTCTCCAGCAGAGCATCTGGTGGATTAGAACCACATCTTCAGGATTACAGTGCAACTTCTTGCCACAAAACCACCAGAGTTCCCTATGTCCTCGATATTTCTTGGCATAGACTAGTGAGCATGTCCAGTGCTGAATCTGTCATTTAAAACATACCAATTGGTATTCCATCAATTCCTGAGCCTGTCTTTCTTTCTTTTCTTTCTTTCTTTCTTTCTTTCTTTCTTTCTTTCTTTCTTTCTTTCTTTCTTTCTTTCTGTCTTTCTGTCTTTCTGTCTTTCTGTCTTTCTGTCTTTCTTTCCTTTTCTTCTCTTCTCTTCTCTTCTTTTCGCCAATGCCTTTATTACAGCTTGAATATCTTCCTTCATTACCACTGGATCTTGATCATATTGCACTTTCTGAACTATTTCAGTGTCAGCCAATTCTACTTGGTACAGTGATTCTGTGTATTCCTTCATCTTCTGATGTTCCTGGATCATTCAAGATTTTACCTATAGCCTCTCTAAGTATTGCAACTTGAGACCTGAATTTCAATTCCTTCAGCTTGAGAAATGCTAAACTAGTTATTCTCTTTTTATTCTCTAATTCTGTCTCTTTACATTCCATTAGAACTGTTTACTTTGTCTCCTTAAGCTGCCTTTTGAAATTTTCTTTTCAGCTCATTTACTTCAGCATCTCTTCCCTTTGTTTTAGCTTCTAAACAGTCCAATTTTTAGGGTCCCTTCTGAAATCCATTTTGGTTTTTCTTTCTCCTCTGTCTTTGTAATGAACTTTTGCCCTCATCATGGATTCATCTTCATGACATCTCTTGAAGTCATCCCGCAACTCATCTGGTCTTCAATCATTAGTATTCAATGCTTCAAATCTATTCTTAAGATTATTTTTAAATTTAGGTGGGACAGACTCAAGATGATATTTTAGTTCTCTTGGACTTGTTTTAATGTTCTTTAGCTTGAATTTGAACTTGAACATCAGTACTTGATGATCTGGTCCACAGTTAACACTTCGCCTGATTTTGACTGCTGATAATGAGCTTCTCCAATGATTCTTTCCACAGATATAATCAGTCTGTTTCTTGTGCAGTCCATCTGGTGAGGTCCATGTGTAAAGTTGCTGTTTATATTTTTTTTTTTAAAAAAGTATTTGCAGTGAATAAATAATTGAAAAAACAAAATTCGATCATTCTATTTCTGGCCTTATTTCTGTCACCAAATTGGTACTTTCAGAATACCCATCTTTCTTCATTGTTTCCAGCTTCTGCATTCCAATCACCAGTTATCAGTAATGAATTTTGATTATGTGTTTGGTCAGTTTCAGATTTCAAAATTTGATAAAAATCTTCAAAATAAAGATTGAGGAGATTATATTAGACAAAAGAACTCTGATGGCGTAATCCTTAGAATTGCACTCTCAAAAAAAGCCATAAGTCTCGAATAGTTCAAATTCACCATCAACTCTGGGGGAGGAAAATATGGGCAGACTCCTCTCATTAAGATTTACAGCCTTGGAAGCCCCCAAAATGGTCACTGTGAGCCAGAAACAACTCAATGATAATGAACGTTGAGTCAATACAACACATGGGCCATGTTACATTCATTCTCTAGAAAAAGCTGAAAATCTTTCTTGTACACTCAAACTCATTAAATTTGCAGCAAAACTTTCAATTAGTCACACAAGGAAGATAAGCAAGACTACACTTTCCCCAGCATAAGATTTTCAAGGTACAACTATTTTATGTCTTATTTAAGACTTCCTATCTCTTTATGGCAAAATAATATTTCACTGTATGTAAAATAAGTCAATCATAAAAAGGCAAATATTATTGAATCATAGACATATATGTGGAGAGCATAGTGTAGTAATGATTACCACTAGTAAACTGAGAGAGAAGTGAACCGGGGGAATCATTGTTTTATGGGGTTGAAAAATATTGGCAAAGGCATAGGTGATAGTTGTACAACATGATTACTGTAACTGACTTCATTGAATTACACACATGAAAAATGCTGAGCTGGAAAATGTTCTGTTACTGGGATTTTTACAACAACAACAAAAAGATGTACACTGAAGTTTCTAAAAATATAAGCAAAGTTATAAAGTCCCTAACCAATAAAAGTCTATGGTGTAAAACTTTAAAAAACAAACAAACAAAAAAAACCCAATCTTCTGATTCCAGAATTTTAGGGGTTAGTAAAATTTGGATAAGAGTCTGTGGACTAGAAGCAGATTTAAGATCCCCCATTATAAAACAGGACCACCCCTATGGTACCATTTAAAGATCTAATTTGTGGCATTAATATCTGTTTTCTAGTCAAATGTAGTCTGTGGTGAAAGTACAAAGACGATGAAATCATGAAGAAACAAAAAAGTGTAGCACAAACTGACGCTGTGTTATCCAGCTGCCACAAGCCTAAAATGCCATTCTATCCCAGACCCTTTCTCATTTTACAGGAAAAATAATATTTCCTTCATTCCTTTCTCTGATTCTTCATGCAAAGATAGTGAGTAAAGTGCTTTACTTCCTGCTAAAAACCTTTCTTAATGCCTGACTACCCCAATTTACCTGGAGGGCAGAGTAGACCAAGGCCACCCCTGACAGATAGCTTCTCGCTATTATTCTCTGAGTCAGAACCAACAGCTTAGGCCAGCCGGCAAGAAGTAGGGACATCTTTTTTTGTGGCTGAGGTACTTCATCACAACATTGGTAGCTCAACGGCCTTTTCTTTGACTTCAGTTTTCTTACCTGAACTCTGACCTTTTCAGCTTCACTCCCCAGCGAGTTAAGGACCCTGATCCAGGAGGCAAAGGAAATGAAGTGGCCCTTCGTGCCTGAGAAGTGGCAGTACAAACAAGCCGTGGGCCCAGAGGACAAAACAAACCTGAAGGATGTGATTGGCGCTGGGCTGCAGCAGTTACTGGTAGGAAAAGCCAAGCCACCTGTCACTCTGACACCCCCAAGCGAGGCATTTAGACTCTAAGTAGAGTCATAGATTAAATTTCTTTGAAGTACAAGACAGCCCCTTCCCCTATGGCCAGCTCTGCCAGATTGACTAATGTGGGGGAAATAGCTGTTAGGAAAGCGTCACTTGTCCGTAAGACCTTCTGTTGGAAAGCCAAATCCAATAAAAGTCAAGAAGGGTGGTCTTATGTGAAACTCACCATGCTGAAATATTTACGAATATTTCCTGGTGGACCAGAAATAGCAGAGGCGACTTTGCCACGCCTCATAGAAGTTTTATTTAGAAATGTCACTTCCTAAAATTTGAGTAGCTTAAAAATACAAATTTACTGATGCTGTGATTATGTGACTTAACTTTAATCTTTTGCAGCCTAGCATTTCCCTTCCCTGGGTCCCAGGGGAGGTCCTTCTGACTCCTGTATTTCCTAAAGAATAGAGATTCTCAGTCAGTGTTAAGACAAAGTCAATGACATGTTTATTCTTCCACTCGGTTATTAGAAAATAATCCAATTGGCTTCTCCACCCAAAACAGGAGGGAGCATCAAGAAAAGCACATGAACTGATCTGAGTGCAGAGTTCAGGCTTAAGGTCTAGGGAGCCTGCAAGAAGTGCCATTTTGTCTTTAGAGAGTGCTTCTTTTGAAGTACTTTGTCAGACTAATTGTCAAAGAAGGATATCTACCAGCTTATGTGTATACCTTTTCTCGTAAAAT